CTGGCTGGACTCCCATTGCAGTTCCGGGGGTCGATGTGAGGCCTTGGATTCAGGCCTCCAAGCGTCGCAAAATGGTTACGACGGCTGCTTTTTCCAGTGATATGCTGTGTTCCAAAACGTCGTGTGTGAATGACGCAAGCTGACCGTCCCATCTCGTTGGCGGGCGTCCGCGCGCTCTCGAGGCTCTGTGCGTGCGCGCGGGTCTCCACCCGATGATCGCATGCACCCAATCAATGTCAGAATGGCTTACTCGCTGGCCAAGTTTGTACAAGGGGCGGGCGGGTCGGTGCGGCCGATCGCAGCGGGCGCGGGCGGCTGCCATTGCGACGGCGGCCCGAACGCGGCGCGGGCAGTGCCCGACGTCCGTTGCCAACTTGGCAGAACATCAGCGCATCAATGCGGGGGCTCGGTGGTTCCCCGCGTGGGCGGGCGGAGGCGTGATGCCGTGCTTTGGCGCGTCGGGCGGGCGCCCGAACGGCGCCTCGGCAGAGCGGGGTCGGTGCGTGCATCTGCGCGCGCGCATGTCGGCCAGTCGCTTGGCTCTGCCAGCGCCGCCGGTGGGTTTCCGCTTCGCGCGCCTTGGCGCGCGTGGCAAGCTCGGTCGCCCCGCGCTCGCCAGACGTTTTGCTCCTAGCGGCTAGCAGGCGCCGCCGCCAACCCTGTTGTGAAGTGCGTCCGATTCCCCAGCGTTCCGCCGTGAAGCGCGGTCGGCGCCGCCGTGAATCGCGAGCGGCCGCCGAGGTTGTCCGACGGAATTGTCGGTATGCGTCGTATGGGTTGGCAGCCATCTCGCGTCCCTGGGCGCCTGTTGCGGTTGGTTCGCGACGCGAGCGGGCTTCGACTGGCGTCGGGGGGGCGCGGCGCAAGCGGACGACCGACCGAGCGGGCGCCGAACGCGTTTACGCCCGAGCCCTCTTCAATTTTGGTGCGCGACCTGCGCCGCCTGCCCTTCCCCTTCGCGGGCCCGCCCGACAGCGCATTCGATTCGAAGCCCACGGCGCATATCCGAGCCAGAGCGCTGGGTGACGCCATCTCGGGCGCATGCGCACGCGCTTGCCCTTCCCGTGGCGCGCGCACCTCGGCCGAAGTCTGCGCGGTGCCTCTTTCCGCCGCCACTGCGCCCGCGTGCGCAGCCATGCGAGTTTCGCCCAATCCAACTTGATCCCGAGGTGCCGCCCTTCCCTTGCCACTAGGTGGCTAGCGCCGCATGTCGCGTGGCAGCGCGGAGCATGCTAGTCTCGGACGGGGCCGTTTCCCGACCGTGGGCGTTGCCGCGGTGATTTGGGGCCCTCGTCGAGGCGCGGCGCAGGCGTTGCCGCGCTGCGTTGGGCCGCCAGTCGTCCGCAGAGCTTTCCGCGCCGAGCTGGGGCGCGCTCGGCCGCCAACGAAGTTGCGCGGGGCCGCGGCGTCAGCGCCCCGAGCGGTGCACCGCAAACAGATTGCGCGCTGGGGCGGGCGGAGTGAGGGGGCGCGCTTGCTGAGCAACGAACGTTGTTCGTTGCAGCATTCTGGCGTCGGGGCTTGTCGCTCTGAGCTTGGGGGCGGCTGTGTTTGGTGCGTGCCGCCTTCATTTGGGTTGCCATCCGCTTCCAGAAAACGTCACCGCACTGCGCGTGTGCTCGCGCGCCGAATTTGCCGCGCCAAGGTGGGGCGCCGCGGCGGGCGCCGATTGTTCCCGCGTTGAGCTGGGTTGTATGCGAGCGCAGGGTTGCCGCGCGCCGAAGTGGGCCGTCGCCTGGCCGTGGAACGCGCGGCCAGAGTTGGGCCGCGATTCGCGCCCCGAGGTTGCCGCGCTGATTCGGGTCGCCATGTCGCCGCGTGCTTTGCCGCGCCGAGTTGTGCCGCCTGTTGGGCGCCGAGGGTTGCGGCGCGGAGCTGCGCCCCTTTTCGATTTCGGTGCCTGCCGCTTAGAGTTTGGGCGCGCCTGTCCCTGGCAGTCATCGCTGGGCCGCCAGTGGGGCTTCGATTTCAAATCGCGCAGCGCTGCGCGACCCGTCGCCAGCGGAATTCGCCGCGCTGGGCCGCGGCGCCAGTCGGGCGCCGACAACTGCCGCGTTGATCTGGGCGGCCGCGGCCTTTGCAGCGATGCGTTGCAGTGCTGAACGGCGTGGAAAACAGCGCCGTTGGATTGGATTGTCGGGTTTGTTCCCCTGGGCTGGGCCGCGAGTCGGCCGCGGAATATGCCGCGCTGCGTTGGGGCGTTCAGTTGTCGGTGGCGGGTCGGCGCGCTTGGCGGGGCAGCTGCTCGCGCCCCGGAGGTCTCTCGCGGCGCGAGCTGCCATTCGGCCGCGGGGGTTGCCGCGTTGGTCTTGGGCGCGCATGGGCGGCGGAGAGCAGCTCTTCGCAGCGGGGCCAGAGCAGCGGCGCGATCCCGACGCCGGAGAGCGCCCCCCCCCGCTCGCCGGCATCGCGCGGCATCTCCACCGACAGGTGGACTGGAGCACATTTGCCGAGGCGATGTGGCGGGGAAGTGGTTGGCGGGCCCCGGCCGCGACGCGCGGTGATTCTCGGACCCCGCTGTCCATGGGCATCCTCGTTCGCCGCGGAGGCTGCTGCGCCGAGCTGGCGCGCCCGTCAGGCGCGGGCAAGTTGCCGCGCCAAATTGGGCGGCGTTTGAATCCCTGCCACCTGGTTGCGCTGGGCAGCAGGTCGGCAGCGGCAACTGCATGCGCCGTCCTTGCACGCGTGCCTGCGCGGTGCCTGGGGGGTTGGTTGTTTCCTGGGAGGGGGGGGGGGCGCCGCGCTGCGGCTGGCGGCCTCGGCGGTGGCAGCGCCCGCTGCAGCGGCAGGAATGGTGGAATGAAGTCGTTGGGGCTCCGTCGTTCCTGAGGCCGCTCGTGGGCCGCATGGCGGTTGCCGTGGCTGCGTCGGAGCTTGCGTTTGGGCAGTGGTAGCACCTGCCATGCACTTCCCCACCCGAGGGTTCACTTCGGATGCCCCAAACTGCATCGGGCGCCCCTGGGGAGGGCAGTCTTGGAGGGCGCCGACCAACGATTGGTGGAGAATGTGGCCTTCTTTGTCCCTCTTGGGCCGTCGTTGGCTGGGGAACGCGAGTGTGCGCTCGCGTGTGTGTGTGTGTGTGTGTGTATGTGTGTGTGTGGGTGCGTGTGCGTGCATGTGTGTGTGTGTGTGTGTGTCCGTGTGTGCGTGTGCGTGTGCGTGTGCGTGTGTTTGTGCTTGCGTGTGTGGGGTCCATTCTTGAAGTCCCCTGGCCGTTCTAAAACGTGTTCGCGGGTCCGAGCGGGCGCGTTCTGCGATCCGCGCGGGGTCCTCTTGCGCCGCCCCGGTCGGTCTATGCCCTTGGAAGCGTTGCGTCGCGTGCTCCCGGCGCGCTGGTTTGTTTGTTCAACGGCGGCTTCAGGAGCTCTGTCGGGTGCGATGAAACATATTCCTCCCTTCAGATCTTTCGCAGTGCTTGCTCCAATGGCCGTCGCAGGTTTTTTTGGGGGCTTGCGCGGGCCGTCCGGGGCGCCGCGCAGTTCGTCGAACGCGCGCAGGGCCCCGCCTGCGGGCCGCTCCGCGGCCGCCCCCGCCACCTCAAAAGAGAATTCAAAAGAAGCTTCCGTGCCGCAATTTCCTCGCGGGTCTCCTGGGGGTTCTTGGGGCGCGCTCGGTCGGCGCAGTCCCAGGGTTTCCCCGAAGGCGCCTGCGCCCTCTCAAGATGGCGCCGTGGGGTGCCCCGTTGGAACTTGTGCTTGATAGAGGGTGCGCGTGATCTCCTCGCGCCCTGCCACCGCCTCTACCATGGTACTTCTTGGCTGGCCCAGGGCCATCGTTGGTTGGGCTGGCCCCGGCAGGCCTGATATATTCGCGGGCGTCGCGGGCCCTCCAGGCCGCCGTGGAAATGTCCGGTGCGGCTTGGCGCACTTCTGGAAAGGTCCAGCGGTGGGCCCGCGACAAAATGCGATCATGTCAACAGCGTCTTGTGGGCCTCGGGCTTCTCGGCGAAGGCTTTTGATTGCCGGCGTAGGGCCCGCAAAGCTGCGTGGTTGCGATCCAGGGGCGCCCTTGGAACGATTCGAATGCCCCAGCGGGGGCTTTTTCAGAGTACCTGGCGGCGAACAGTCTTTGATCATATTTTCTTGCGCGGCGGTGTCCAAGGTGGTCATTGCTGGCTTTCTCGGGTTTCCAGGGACTTGGTGCGCGTCCCGCAATTGGGCTTTCGAGTCATGTCCGTTATGGGGGCGTTCAGGTCTCCCCTGCAGATTTCGCAAGGGGCATCGCGTGGCTCCTGGAGAGGCGAACCTACGACCGCATGTTGCTCTCCAGGGGGTCACGCGGCTGCCCCGGGTACTCTTGTGGTGCCGAATCCACGTCAGAGCGGGCGATCGCAACGTTATGTTTTGCTTCTTTGATGCAGTTGGCGGCTTGGGTTGCAGCGTAGAGTTCTCGGAAAGCGGGTCCGCAGCCGTTCGGGTCAGTCTTGGAGAAGTGTCGCGCTGCTTCGGGCGTGCCAGGGGGTCCCGCGGCGCCGTCCCTGGAGTGTTCGGTATCAGAGTTTGCGTGCGCATTCCATGGTTGATCCGCGCTCCTGAGGGTTAGTTCCCATCGTTGCATTGCACTGGGGTGGCGGTCCTCCATGTGCGCCTGCGTTTGCACAAGAGTGACTTTCACTGTACCCTCGTCGTTGTATTTCTGCCCCCCCCCCCCCCACGCATCGACTTTGACTTGGAGCGCGAACTGTCCATTCGAGCCGCCGCGACAGTTTCGACAGCCCGCGGCCCGCCCGCATGCCGTCGAAGTTTCGCCGCGAGGCTGTGACCTCATTGGCAAGCGCGGCTTCGGTGCCGATGGGGGCCCGCCTGCAGTCCCGAAGGCTTCCCGCCGCATGGGCGGCAGGAGCAGCACTTGCGGCTCGGGCAGCTGTTGGTGCCAGCGCTGCGAGGTGCCCGTGGACATCGCGACGGCCAAACGTGCTGGGGCCCCTGCTGTGCCGTGGATCGCCCGTGGTGGCTGCTGGACCACCCGCGAGAGGCACTGACTGCGCCCGCGGCGCCGCCATGCCTGGCGTTTTCGAGCGCCGCCACGAGGGGCCAGACTTGATCGGCGACTTCCTGGCGCGGGCCGCAGCAGATTTGGATTTGGAGAGCCAGGTCGCCACCGTTGCGGAACGCGGCAGCGTCGAGGTCGACGCGTACTACGGTTCGGAGGTCAGCTCCTCGCGGGTCCAGGTGGCTCCGAAGCAGTGGGCTCCCCAGGTTGTCCCTCGCGGGCTAGTTGGCGTCGCCCCAGAGATGTGCGACCGGCGCCCGTCTCGCGCGCCGTCGTCCTGCCGGCCAGGTGCGCGCGGCCGACCCAGAGCAGCCATTCGTCCAGATCGAGGACTACGCGAGGACAGAGGTCAAGATGTCGACAGTGAAGCTGGCGCCCCAGCGGGCCGTGAAGGCGGGGGCCGAGACAGATGCCATCGAGCGAGAGGTGACGAGGCCGACGATCAACGAGCTCGGGGACATCGCCTGCGCGAAGGCACCCGCGGCGGGGATGCCCCCCGCGCCGCTGCCGGCCGCGGCCAAGTCCGCCGCGTCCGCGCCCGCCCCGGCGGCGAGCGAGGGCGGCAGTGGGCGCGGTTCGGGGGCCGAGCTTATGGGTGCCAGCGGCGGTCAGAACGCTGGCGACGCTGCGCCCGCGCCCGCGGCAGCCTCCATGGCCTCGAGGGCTTCGAGCAGCTTCGTCGCCGACCTCGCCGCGGACGAGAGCGCGCCCGCCAGGCCGACCCCCGCGACGTTGGCGCGCAGCGTGGCGAGCTCGCCGCCGACTGAGGGCGCGCCGCGTCTCGAGGCCACGCCGCGCCCGCCACCGCCGTCGCGGGCCGCTCCAGGGGGTCGGCGGGCTCGCGGGCGAGATCGGTGGAGGTCTCCAGTGCCGAGCCTGGCGTTGTCGACGGGCGACTCCGCCACTGGCAGCAGGGCCAGCGGGGGGCCGCCAGGCTCGGCGGAGGAGGCGCGCTTCGACGGCTACGAGTCCGACGCGGTGATCCACGAGATCTTGGACGGCAGCCCCAGGGGGGGCAGTGCCTGCGGCCTCGAGCGCCTTGCCGTCGGGGCCGTCAAGTTGCATTCGAAAGTTGAGACGGCGAGCGCCCTGTCGTTAAACCTCTTCGCCATGGAATGGAGACAAGTTCTCGCGTGCCGCAGGCGGCTCTCTCAGCTGGAGGTGGGGGCCGCGTGTGTATTTTGCAAAAACCCCTCTGTGAGGTCATCGTTGAGGCTCTGCTGCCGTGGGCCACTTGCCCCGACGACTTCGACGTCGCTGCTCCCCGACTGGCTGCCATGGCGGACATCGGCATGACTGAGAAGGCAGAGCTTGTTCGGGAGATCTTGGTGGACGTCCTTGTGCTTCCGAGGTTGCAGGACCCCGTGCGGCCACTTACCTCCAGCACTTTTGCAAGCTCCTCGCGTCGGCGTTCCAGTGCGGAGACTTGACCTCTGGAGATATCAAGGCTTTCAACCAGCACGTCGAGGCGTTCGGCATGATGCCGCGCCACCTGCCGAACGACGACCCCTCGGGCTTCGCTGAGCCCTCGCCGCGCGCGAGCAAGGTGATTGCGCTGGTGACGGGCTCAGCCGACGATCCCGAGTGGCACCATCTGGCCGGGGTGCTGAGCAATGACGAGCCGTGGTCGGAGTGCAGGGCGAGTTTCAGGGGGGGGCGCTTCCGCCGACGTGCAGGTCGCCCCCAAGATGAAGAAGGTGATCGATGATCTCGAGGGTGCAGCGGCCGACTTGGCAGGCGTCAACATCATGAAAGGGGGCTCATGTGGATATCGAGGCGCGGGGGAGAGCGCGCCGCGGGGCGTCGCTGTCGATCCGCTTCGCGGAGTCGGTGGTGCAGGAGAGGATTGAGGATGCTGTCAAGCACATGTTTCGGGCCAGCTCGAACGCCGTGGACACCCCAGTCGGGGGCGGGCTGAAGGGAGCGACGGGCAGCTTCTCTCGCGTCCACGGTTCGAGCTGGACACTGCTGGCGATCCGCTTCTCGGCGTGCGCAGTGACTCGGTCAATCGCGCGGGCCGTGCGTCGCGCGGGTCGCGGGCGAGGACAACGTCAGGAATGCCATTCCCAGGTGCGCGGCGGAGGCCAGCGACGAGATGCTCCAGGATATCAAAGTGTTTGTGGAGGAACACAAGCACGTGCAGTTGCCACTGAAGGGGGCGGCGATGCCATCGCGAAGGCCGCCTGCCACGTCATCGAGAACATCCTGCTCTTGAGGTTCGACGTGCAGCGCGAGCGGCTCGGCCCCGTGCGCGCGGAGGTCGCGGGCGCGCTCGGCATGCGCGGGATCGCTGCAAACACAACGTTCGCCATCGTACCCGCCGACTCGAACAGGGTTGCTCTCGAGGCCATTGCAGCGCGGCTGGCTGACGTCTTCTCGTGCACCCGGGTCGCGAAGCATGCCCTTGAGTTCAGCGAGATGAGCGACGGCGACCCCAGCGAGCTGCGCAACGCCTTCGAGGGTTCGGGCTCGTCCTTCGAGGCCGTCCCTTCCAGGTGGTCCAAGGGCGAGACGCACGAGGATTTCTAGCAGGCGCTCGGCTGCTCCAGGTTGGGGGACTTTGCGGAGGGGAGCTCGCGGTGGCCAGGAATTCCACCCTTTAGGGGGCCCTCGAAGTCGGGGGTCGGATCCACGACGCCTTGAAGAAATTCGCGGGTGGCATGATGAATGGCGCCCGCTACGTGGGCGGCTTCAGCGGTGACCCTGGGGACTTCGAGCAGATGATGAAGCATCTGAAGGCCGCGATGTTCAAGCAGGTTGGCTTGTCTTTGCGTTTGAAGGGGGCGCGCCCAGAGATGATGCGCAAGATGGTGGAAGCTGCCGGCCACGCTCGGAAACTCGATCCCGACAGGCAAGTGGCCAGATGTCGAGGCGTCGTGGTCGAAGACATTGGCGGTTTCTGATGCGGCCCTCACGGTTGCCAGCGTCGCCCAGAGCCTGAAAGACGACAAGACTGACGAGGTTGCGAAGTCCAACCTTCAGAGGTCCGCGGGCTCAATGCAGGGCCGAGCGGTCGCCATCGGCGAACTGCCCGCGAGCATCTAGGAGGGATGCCAGCACGTGCAGTCGGCGCGAGGGGCGCCGCGGCCCCCGCGGGAGGCCGCCCGAGGGCGGGTGCAGGAGGAAGGGGGGAGAAGCGGGGGGCGAGGAGAGAGGAAGGAGGGCGATGGGGGAGGAAGGGAGCGGCAACGAGCAGGACGGCGCAGGACGGCTCCAGCGACGACGGCGGGCCCCGGCGGGCTGTGAAAACGTTCTCTCTTGTCCTTCTCACTCTGCTTGCCCTCCCCCTGCTTTCCTCTGCCTCTCCTTGCCTTCCTTTCCCTCCTCCGCCCTTTCCCTCCCTGTCGCTCCTTCTTGCCTTTTCCCCTTCCCCGCCTCCTCCTCCTCCTCCTCCTTCCCCCCTGCCTTCTTGTTCCTCCTGTTGCCATTTTGGCTCAAGCCTTCTAGCTGGCTGACGATCGGCTGGGGAAAACGTTGATGCGGGCGTCGGCCCTCCGCCGAATTCGGAAACATAAAACTGTCCCTGTAGCAGCCATGGCTGTTTTTTCGCGCTTCGGCTGGGCGCGAAATTGCCCATGACGTTTCTGTGGGCCCTTTAAGGGTCCGCTGCGGCGGCCGACTACCCCAGGGGTAAGTCCGTCAAAACCCATGGCACATTTCCTCAATCGAAAGCCATCGCCCGCCGTGCATACAAGTAGACCGACGCAGGAAGTCTCAAGATTGCGGTGTATCTCAACCTAGAATTGGTTCGGGATCCGGTCGTGGGCGCGGCTCGGGCCTTGTCCACGACTGTCCAGACGCTGTCGGCCAAGAGCAGAGCAGTGGCCGCGGCTGAACGACAACGACGCTGCCCTCTAGCAGTCGCTGGTCATGAGAGGATCCAATTTCAGTCACGACCGACCAGGCCTTAGCTACGTTACGTCGATGCAGGCCGAGACAAGAAAGATTCCCACGGAGTCTGACAATATGGACCTGCAAATGTTTGGCAGGCATCTCAAGCGCGCCCGAGCTGGAAGCATGAGGTACAAGCTGCAGCCGCTACCAGATAGGATCGGTAGCGCTGTGGGTGCTGACTGGGCGAGGGGAGCCACGATTCTAAAGTTTCGATTTGGCATGATGATCATAGTGGGAGTGGGATCCCATCTTGTCAAGCACGCTTCGTCGAATCAGACAAGTGTGGCTCTCTCGAGTTGAGGGAGTGAGTAATGTGCCATGCTCAAGGTTGCGACCCATACGCTCGGCTTGCAGTCCATGCTCTACGACTTTGGGGAGTTCGTTCGATGGAGGCGATCAAGCTGAACTTGGGGCCGATCGAATTGCAAATCGATAGTGTTGCAGCCGAAGATATTACCCACCGCCAAGGCTTAAACATGGTTCGTTATCCAGATGCCGGATTCACATGGTTCCGGGACCAAGTGATGTTGAACAAAATAGTTGTCAGGCACGTGCCAGGACATCTTAATCCCGCATATATTTTCACACGTCCGTGGACCAGTAACATATGAGGTGGAATTATTGATAAGACGGGCGTTGGGGTCGTCGGGGCGGGCAGCACTTTGCATCCAGTGGCGGAGTGCCTTCGGAGCTTTCCAACGTGGCGGGCCGACAAGATGTGAGCACATTGATTTCCCACGGGCCCTGTGCACATTGCAAGTGTCACGACAACGCAGGACTGAGTTTTTTTTTCGGCTGTGGCGTAGGATGCGTCGGCTGCTCGCGTGCGAATCGTCGATGTCATCCATCCCTCATCCTCCCCTGCTTTTCCCGATCACGGAGGCCACGGCTTCACCCACCTAGTCTTAGCTGGTCTTCGTTCGTTTATTCCCATCCTCGACTTTTCCCTTCCCCCCTCCTCCTTCTCCTCCTCCTCCTCCTCATCCTCTTCATCATCATTAGCATCGCCAGCATCAGAACCATCAACATCATCATCAAGATAATCATCATCATCGCAACCATAATCAGCATCATCAGCAACCGCATCGCCACCATCAGCATCATCATCAACATCATCCGCATCAGCATCACCAGCGTCGTCCTCTTCGTCTTCGTCGTCGGCATCCTTGTCGTCGTCATCGTCATCATGATCACCATCGTCAGCATCATCACCTTCATCACCAATCGCCATTTCCACCATCACCATCATCATCTCCACTATCACCATCAACACCATTATCATTGCCATCATCACCGTCAGCATCGTCAACATCATCAGCATCACAATCACCATCATCATCAGCATCATCATCAGCATCATCATCATCATCATCATCATTACCATTATTATTAGCATCATCATCATCACCATCATCATCATCATCCGTAGCCATTTTGGCTCAAACTGTTTCTCCGAACTGTCGCAGGCGCCCACGCGCAGCGGTCAGCGGCGCGCGACTGGGAGATGAGCAATGGCGACGGGGGGCTGCCCGCAGGCGCGATGGCGGGGCGGCCCACCAGGCGTGGCAGTGCGCTGCGCAGGAAGGAGGAGGCCGAGGTAGGCGCCTCGGCGGCCCGCCGACGGGCGCGGGCGCGGCGCCTCCTCGCCGCCGCGGCGGCAGTCGGCAAGGCGGCCAGCGGCGGCCCAGGTTCCTGGCAGGACCGGGAGGCTGCTGCGCGCCCCGCCTTGCGCCGAGCCGCCGCGGGATGCCGCGTCCCAGGCGCAATGCGGCGGCGGCGGAACGCCGCGTGGCACGCGCTGCTGGTCCCTGCGGGCGGATTCGCGCGCGCGTCCGCAGCGGGCCTTTCGCGGGCCGCCGCGGGCCCCCGCCTGGGCTGGCTGCCCTCGCTCCCGGAGGTGGCGGCGCTGCCCTTCGGCGACTGCGGTGAGGCAGCCGACGAGCACTGCCAGGCTCCCGGCGCCAGGGTCTGCCCAGTGCTGGGCGGCGCTGCCGCCACTGAGGGATGGCGGCGCCCCCCCATCGTGAGCTTCGCGAACCAGGTCGTCGCCGTGGCAGTGGGCGGCAGCGTCCAGACGGAGCTCCTGGGGGGCGAGGATCACCTCGATCGCCTGCGGCGGGTCTCGCGCCAGCGGCTCGAGGCGGCACAGCGGCCCGCGCTCAAGCCTGCCGCTGCCCTGTTGGCCCCGCTGCCCGAGGTGCTCCAGGTGCGGATCGTTGGCATGCTATCCCTGCCCGACAGGCTGCGGTTGTGCCAGGCCTCAACTG